GACCAGCAAGTTTTCTCATGACTGGCCACGATTGATGGTAAAAAAAAAGTTTTGGCGAACTCTATGTTTTTCGCTTTTAAGTGGTTCCATGGTCACGTGGTCACCTTTTCGACCCACATCGGTCAAATGTACCCGGCAAAATATAGAGCCGTCTTTGTTACACAAGGCCCAGACCCAAAAAATTTGTTTGCATGGACCCCAAACTCAAAAATATTGCAGCCTCAAAATTTTTTGGTGGCATGGTAGTCGGCTTGATATAGGGGTACAAAACGCCCGCTGGGTAGAGTACAAAACGTCCGGTGGGTAAAAGTACAATACGTCGGTGGGTTAACCCACCGACGTTATGTGCGAACTGGGCTGTACACAAATCGTCACCCGATTGGTTGAATATTTAGACGGTTTTCGAGGCTACAAGGACACATTAGGAAAATAAAGCTCCATTTTAATTACTTATAGCAATATTTAGGCTTGATATGTATCTAAGAGCTTCCTTTCCATAAAATTGATGTAATAATGTGAGTCAAAGGCATCTGCAAGAGACACCTTTCTAGAGTTTAATACCACGTTTAGTCCTCAAAGGTGCCCAAAGAGGTGATTTATACATATTTAATAACATCTTGAGGTCGCTTCCTCACATTTGATGACGTTTCGCGAGTTTCAATGGAAGGATTTATTTACAAATACCTGTTTAATGCTGCATAGCCGACGTAATGAAGAAAATTAGAAATATTGAAAACATTCTTGTCCCGTTGTAGATATCACCTTTGATGAAATAAATGAAAAAAATAATAAATCGGATACAATACATTGGTTGATTAACCCGCCATCTTTATGTATTCTTTAGACCGGGAAAATACTTTACCCACCGAGCGTTTTGTACTCCTATGTTAACCAATTTTCAATTTGCTTCATCCCAGCTACAGGTCCACAAGTTCGCCTGACCCTGGCATGCACTAACATTTACCCGGGGTTTTTTGGTACATGTATGGTTGGCGTTAGACGAAGGCAACGACTCGATGTCTTAGGTTCTTTGCATCCTTTTCCTCCACGTGATCACTGCACTGCTGTTACCAGTTACCATAAATTCTCGCAAGGTGAGGAGAGAGGAGACTAAGAGATCACATCCGCACAACTATATGACTTGACTTGCCTCTGACCGCTGTGATGCCTTAGTCAAAGCTGACCACAAGGACTGCTTTTATAATTGTAAACAAATTTTCAGATGTGATCGACTTGCGATTTGTCGAGAAAAAGAAAAAAAATTCGCTTCTGTGGGGAGCTGGGGACAAAGGGACATGTTTCATATCTTCTCGGATCATCTCGGGTCACTAACCAAAGTTGTAGAACAAGAGCGGTTTTATAGTTGGGTTTTCAATTTGAAGGGTGGCTGACATGTAGAATGCTGAGAAAAGAGTAACAGAAGTTCATATGGGAGAGATCACGTGCTCAAGAGGTACAGGACTTCACTTGCTTCTGACGGCTGTGACTTCTTAGTCAATGTTGACCACAGTGGCTGCTTTCATGATCGCAAAACAAATTTCAGATGCGGTCGACTTATGACTTGTGGAGAAACAAAGAAAAAATTCGCTCGTGCGGGGGCAAAGGGACATGTTTCATACCTTCTCTGATCAACTTGCGACATTATCCAAAGTTGTAGAACAAGGGCGGGTTTATAATCAAGTTTGCAATTTAAAGATAGATTGACATGTAGGATGCTGAGATAATACTAATAGAAGTTTATATGCAAGAGATCACGTGCTCAAGAGGTACAGGACTGGACTTGCCTCTGATGACTGTGACGTGTTAATAAAACGTGGTCACAGTGACTGATTTTATAGTCGCAAACAAATTTTCAGATGCGGTCGACTTGCGATTTGTCGAGAAAAAGAAAAAAATTCGCTTCTGTGGGGACAAAGGGGCATGTTTCATATCTTCTCGGATCATCTTGGGTCACTAACCAAAGTTGTAGAACAAGGATGGTTCTATACTTGAGTATTCAGTTTGAAGGGTGGTTGATATGTAGAATGCTGAGAACTGAGTAACAGAAGTTCATATGAAAGAGATCACGTGCTCAGGAGGTACAGGAGCTGGTAGCCACATTCGCTGAATCGCTTGTCTTGCATATCAACCTGTATCAACCTTGATACTTTGTTGAAGTACGCCTTTGAACACAAGGAACATTTCTGGTTTTTGGTCGTCGTCGAAAAAAACATTCAAGAGGTTGACCTGCGGATCCAATTTGGCTGGTGGCGACATTTGCGAAATCTGCGATTGACAACCCCGATGGTGAAACTTGCACACATGGTTCCTTTGGCCCTGACGAGCCACCCTGTTCTCATAAAAACCCCACGCTTGATTGTAAAATTTGGAGATAGAGGCACCTTTATGTTTTACCTATGCTGAAGCGTGATGCTATATGATAGGTGCTCTCTGTTCATTGTCAAGTCGTAGTATGAATATAATAGAGCCAAAGATTCAGAGGGTCATGTTTGTGTTAAGAAGTACAGCAAATTGAAAGCCGTTTGCTGTGAATAACCCTCAGCATCAATACCCCAGTGGCCAATACCAATGTACATTTGGTGGGAGCTTCCTTTTCTATTCATCCTGATAGATCAATCGAGCATACAAGAGAAGCCGAAAATGTAGTTGGTGATCGCTGGTGTGGATACAGGACCATCGCAGCCCTTGTTTACGGGAATCAAAATCGGGCTGTGGATGTCAAGCGTGCGATGCTATCATTAAAAACCGTACGGGTCATCTCAATGCCCGTCAAAAGATACAACAATAGCATTTATTAAATGCTCTAGATAGAATGACATACGGTCAGTACCACAGATGAATGAATAACACAAGGTTAGTATTATAGCATAGATGAATGAATGAATCCAAAAGCTGAATGCTTTGCGGTGGCAAGCGCACAACATTTCCTATTTGCTTACGGCACACTGAAAACCACAGGCATACATGTTCCCACTTGAATATGATAGTATCATTTGGGTGGATTCATGGTGTGGTTGACCATGCAGTACTTTTATGTTGTGCTCGTGATTACCATAAAAACAGGACTTTCAGTACCAGCAGACTTAAAGTGGATTGAGGACATAGGTAAAATGTCTTATGGCGTATCCAGCCTGAGGAGTAATACCTTGTATAGTAGTAGTCTAGATGCTTAACATATTGAAAGAGCTTCTTGTATACTGTTGTTGCTCGCTACATACTACGCGCTCGTGCGTTGCAATCTATTGGTCCATTTAAGTCACGCGCGAATTAAGAATCAAAGAGACGCGCAGTTGTCGTGTTCCCTCTTTATAACCAACATGTCGCTCGTCAACATTGCCAACATTAACGTGCTCAACAATCCTGCTCCCTTCAATAGTCCTTTGGAGTTTGAAATCACATTCGAATGCAACGCTGAACTTAAAGATGGTAAAAGGGATATGAACCTGACTTCGTTCGAAGGCAATTTGCATTGACGGTGTATGTATTTCGTTCATCCTGTAGATCTAGAGTGGCGTATGATTTATGTCGGGTCAGCTGAAAGTCAAGAATACGACCAAGTACTGGATTCTATCATGGTGGGCCCCATTCCTGTGGGTGTGAACAAGTTCGTTTTTTCGGTATGGTGACATGCTTGTCATGTGCGCTTCCGTAGTGAGCTATCATATCCTAACGCGTCTTAATTAACCTACTGAATGGATGCAGGCCGGACCTCCTCAGATAGATTTGTTGCCCCAAAATGACTTGCTCGAAGTCACCGTTGTGTTGCTTAGCTGCCTGTATCACGGTAAAGAATTTGTACGCGTGGGATACTATGTCAACAACGAGTATACGGATGAGAGTCTCGCACAGGAGCCACCACAGCAGGTTGTCATTGAGAAATTACAACGGAATATCCTGGCAGACAAACCCAAGGTTACCCGGTATGTGCACAAAACGGTTGACACTGATTAAAGCACGATAGGCTAACTAGTGTTTTTGTTATATAGATACACGATAGATTGGTAAGCTATATGAGTCAGGTATACAAGAGCTTTTGTTGATCCATTCAACAGGACAAACCCTTCGAATGATCCATTGATGGAAGCTGCCGCCAAGCAGACTGACCAGGTATGCATCCCGAATACACTTTCAATCTCAGATGCTAATGGGTTAATCATCGTTAGGATATGATGGTGCAATAAATCGTTGACGTTGCGGTCACTTTTTATCCTGATTTGAGCTAGTACTGCAACAACGTTATAGGGTGTCAAATGTTATATCATGACAGCAAATGTGGTTTAAAAGGCAAATGAAATTACATTAAATTTATATTTCATGGTCAATGTTAGTGGAAAAGCTTGGTCGCTCATGATGGGGTATCAATCACTTTTCGAGTACTGCGTCAGGTCCGTGCCACAAATTGATGAGAATTGCTGTGAGAAGAACCAGTGAGAAGCGGCACCAGCGCCACAAGATACTAAAAGCACACTGTACAACCCAGCAAAACAGACCAAGAAAAGTGCAAGAATGTTGTTTTGATAGAGGCGAGCCAAGGTCTCTGTTGCCCATCGCTCCCGGATTGCTGAATTGACAGTCAAATGAAACGAGAAAATCGGGTGGGACATGAGGGTATAGATTATATGTGGAATATACGCTATTGTCTCCTCGGATGGATGAATCTTCACTATCTTTTTGGGCCATTGAAGTGGCAATTGGCATATGTTGAATCATCGTTTCGTTGAAAGCAGCACAAGACAAAATCATCTCTAGCGCATATTCGGACGATGCATTGTACAAAGATGCGATGTTATGTTCGGTTAAACAGGCCTCTTGTTTTAAGCGATCAATGGATGATGTATGGGACGCATTTGACCGGTCGTCATTCTCACAGCTGCTATGGGACTCAATATCTGTGTATGATAAGCTACTACCGTGATCGGGTTGGGATTCTGACAGATCAGGTTTTTGCAGTCGCTTGAGCCACTCATTTTCAAGCTCGTATAATAGGCTTTGTTTCGGAGTTGTCATACACAGATCCATTTGTAAACTGTTGTTGAGTGCTGCTGGTTTATTGGGAGTGCTGGTGTCGATAGATCCTCCATGCCGCTCAGCGTTGTAGCAATTCCCGTATTCACTGGTAGCTGGCGAATGGCGAGGTGACCAGGCGATGCCGCACGCCCGCAAATGTGATAGCGTGTTGCGGTGGTCTTCGAGACTGCTTGTGAGCTCCTCAATATGCTTAAACTGGCGTTGATAGGCTTCCTTCAAGCTGATGTACTCCTGTTGATCATACTGAAACTGTGCAAGCTGCTGGCGCAGACCTTGCAAATCCATTAATGCATTATGTAACTTGGCTTCAACAGCATGTTTCGCACTGGTCAGTTGGTCGTTTCTTGTATGCATTTCGATTATCTTGGCAGTTAACTCATCAGCCTCTGGTTGATCCTGCATATGGTACAATGATGCATCAATAGTGTCATTACTGCGATCTTTGCATTTTTGAACGTGCCGCAATTCTTCGAGTTGCTGTATCTTCTGTGCAGCTATATCTAAGCTGCTGCGCAAGAGTTCGATTTCATTTTGAAGTTTACGCGTTGTCTTCTCATTGTTATGGCTGTTCTCTGTTGACTTGCATAATGCGTCATCCAACATCTTCTTCATTTCTGCATTTTTGATTTGAAGTTCTTCGATCAACGCTTCCCGTGCCCGTTGTTGCGATATAAGATACATTGCCGCACTTTTATCACTGTAGCAATCATCATTCTCATCCCAGCAATCATTGCTATCCTGGTGGTCCTGCTCGTATTGCTGTAATTTTTTGAGCAGGTCTTGGTATTTTGAATTAAGTACCATGTTATTTTCCAACAGTGATTTGCCTATTTCTGCAGCAAGAGCAAGATCTAAGTAGACTGATGTGAGTTCGATGACATAGACCTGAGCCTTACTACAGCCAAAAGGGGAAACTGGGCTGCTGCTATTCTCTTCGACATATTACCTCGCTCTTTCTCTCGCAGTGATAGATACGCGTTCTTCAGCAGTGAAGCCAATTCACCCGATGATTTTTCGGTAACCCATGAAAAGGACGACATGAAAGATGCAACCGATATTGCACCGGGAGATCGAGGCTCAGCACTTGCACACCACAGAGAAGGACTCTTGAGTAAACCGTCAGTCGACAAAGGCCGCGAGGAAATACTATTTAGAGGAGGAGGTACGTTTCGACGAAGCATTCGGCTGTGTATATCGTATGAAGTGGATGTATCTGGTAGTTAAGTCACTGCGAAAGAGAAGAGAAGAAGAGCGTGTCTATTCTTGCGAAGAGGTTGAAAAGGGGTACGCATGATAGGGGGACAAGGACGATCAATCGGAGTCCGTTTTGGAAAACCCATTTTGATTAGGTCCCAAATGCCGATGTATTGTTCATCACGAGGAACACATCCAAGTCCTTTTTACAACCCCACAATATCTATGTTATAGGTGTATACACATTATACGATCATGGCTGAAGGGTGCATCTTTGCAAAGCTGTATGTGCTTGATAATGGGCAATGTTTTTGTGCAATTTATTTCTCCTTTGCACGTCTCCTTGCCAAAATAATGCAGGCTCATGCGGATGGCTGCCAAGATAAGCACACACCCATCAATTAAAACGTCATCGTTGATTATGCCACACTTTTCTATATCATACTGTGTATAAACAGACCTACAAAAACTTTCATGCATGACCACCCCTTTAGCAGTTTGGGGTTTCATACCTCGCTTGATAAAAATGCCTTTCTTTTCATGATATCAAAAAGCATATACCCTTTCACCAATTGGATTTGAACAACAAAGCTACTCACCGTGCTATGGTGGTTTGATAAACATGCTTGTCGCAGCATCATAATGATCTTATTGTATTGGAACGGGGCACGAATCATGTAGTCTATGTTCTGATGATTCACGTAGCAGTAGTTAATGTGTAGATAATCAAAGACCGGATGTGCTTGTGTGACAGTAGGAAAACGAGTCGGCCTCACAAGTGATCTTTTAGCGCCACCCTCTCTTTCCCTTACCCCTTCTCTATATGGCCTTGTCCTCGTAGTCAGTCCTTTAACACACTTACAATTACCTCCAGTCATTCCTTCACATTCCTTTCAATTCCTCAGTCCTCCTCATTATGAACGATTCCAACCAATCACCTGTCCCCGCCCTCAATACACCATCCTCCCAACCAAAGAAACGCACTCGCGTAACACCATCACAATTGACAATCCTCGAAGAAACGTTTGCACTTAGTGCTACACCGGATAGCAAGATGCGTAAACAACTCGCGCAAAAGTTGCAAATGCCGGAGAGATCGATACAAATTTGGTTTCAAAATCGACGAGCCAAGGTTAAGATGCTTCAAAAACGAGCATTGATGCGTGAGGAACAAGAAGCAGCCAAAGCTCGTCTGTATGCGGAAGCAGCAATGTATGCCCAGCAGCCATATTGGCTGCCACAGCGGTCGCAATCAGCCAAAGTACCTATACAGCGTGCCTGGAGCTCAGACATGTCCGCACCGATGCCTCCGCCTCCGTTTGCTGGTGTACCACCACCACCGCCACCGCCACCACATCCGCATCCACATCATCATCATCATCATTATAATAATCCATCATCTATCACCGCGGCTACTACATTACCTTTGTATCCATTAGCAACGCCTTTCCCGATGAGTGGTACTAACTCGATCACCAACAGTGTCTGTCCTACACCACCAATAGCTGGATCGCTTGATAATAACAGCAGGACAGCCTCGAATGTATACCACCATCATCAAAACATATCGACACCACCACCTTATGTAGCTTCTGGTTCTGCCAGTGAGATTATGATTGATCCCCGCGTTCGTCGTACTGGTAGGATTAAAAACTATGATGGTGATTAGTCTAACTGACTTTCCATATACGTACATAGATAGTGAACCTGCTCCATCTTCCTCTTTGTTACCAGAAATGACTATATCCAATGGAATTATCACGGCGAGCTCCCTGACGATTGGAACATGGCATCGCATGAGGATCACGTTGCATGATTTGGTGTGTCACTACGATGCAGGCGAACGTGTTTTTGCATGGCACATTCGTGATAGCGATTACCACTTCAAGATGGTACTGGCCTTTGATAGTGTAACAGCAATTGATGTCATTCCATTGGGTGATGACTTATCTGCAGAAATGCATATCGATCTTGCTGAAGCACCATTGTTTTTCATGGAGAATGACAGCACCTGGGTTCAATGTAGTGATTTTACTGAAGGAATGCAAGCTTCTGTTATCCTACGTCATTCTATTCGAGGCCTCTGTGGAGATTTACGTAATGATCTTTTCGCATTAGCTAGCAATGATGACCACCTATGCCAAATCACACGTTTTGATGATCCCTCTGCTGCAGCAGGTATACCAGCACCTCCTCCTCCTTCAGCCTTTGACGACGCCCTTCTCGGCCCCTCATGGCGACATCAGAGCCTTCCCCTTGCTACTGACTTTGGCTGGACAAATCCTGATTCTTCCTTTTAATCATCCTTCATCTTTCCAATTCCGCTACTTTCATATTTTATTCTGCATCTCTTTATCTATTTTTCCTCCCACACAAGCTACCCGTCGAGTAAACGCATCTTGTTTTCTATTTAGAAGAAATATAAATTATTTCAAGTCATTGCTTCATTGCTAATTACTATGGACGTAAGCTATTCTTGGCTATGTTAGAATAATGAAAATACCGAAGTCCATTACTATTATTGAACCACAGGCATTGAGAAAGAAGATCAGTGATGGGCCGGTGAAAAGTATCTCTTGAGCATCTCGTTGTTGCATGACGATGGCATACGACAATGTGTTGCAGTGGCCCTTCTTTTCTACATGATAGTCGTAAACTAGAGAAACCATATCTCGTTTTGGTTGATGTACCATCTGGTGAAGCGTAGGGGGAAAGTGATATGCAATGACCTTCATGTTAGGTATGGATGGATGTTGGTTAGGTGGTTTCAAGCATTCTAGATGCAAGGCTATCTCATTTACCACGTGGTTGCGAATATTAATACATTTTCTTGAGTGATTGTATTCTTCAATTTCTGCAGATAAGATCAAACATCGACAGATGGTCAATGTGAGGTAGTTTCCATGTAGCATCATCCTGTTTTATCTGTTGCCTAACGTGTGTCATGATACTCAGTCGGGGATTCGACTCCATAACTTGTAAAGCGCGGATGTGGCACTTTATGCGGTCAACTGTAACAACATAGCTTTCCTTCCCACAAACACCCATACGCGTTGGCAAGATGCACGATGCCTTTCAAGTAACCACAGTTGTTGATAAAGTGAACCGCATAGAATCTATCTTTGCACATAGTAATACCTTGCAATGAGTTTATTCTGGTAAATTGATTATCTAACAGTAGTTTCATAGGCGATCGTCTCTTGATTGGAACCGCTGTAGGACAACTACTAGTTTACGACATAAAGGAACCTCTTGGTACTCATCCCAATATCTAATGACCGTGTATAAAATGTATTAAACGCGAGATGTATATAGTGGCCGATGATAACGAAGTGCCCGAAGTGACTTTGGTCAATACTGTCAAGAGTTTCTCGAAGCGTCCTATTGAACAACTTGATATCATTAAAGAAATTGATTGTCTCGTCTCTCTCTCTGGTACAAGTATATCTTTTGTATTATAAACGACAGTATCATTGAAGCTTTCGCTTTATGTTACAGACGGCCTTGTAAGCTTGCATGATCTACGCACATTCGACCTGAGGATGACTTTGGGCAAGACGAAGGGTGCAAATATGTTTGCAATACAAACCATGGTGGAGAGATCCAAGGACCATATTCCTGTACTCACGACACGCCTGGCCGTAGCGCTCCGGAAGAAACTACTTGTTTTTGTATGGAAAGATACTGAATTCTACGAAACAAAGGTATCACGATACATTGTAATGTTGTATTTTTTCTTGGAATGAACATTGACATACATTTTTAAAAGGAATTGAATATACCAGATCGCATCAAAGCAATGTCTTGGGTTGGGAGCACCAAGATATGTCTAGGATTTGCAACAGAATATGCGTTGATGGATGTAGAAGGGGAGCGGCTCACTGAGCTTTTTGCACCTACAGGTCCATCTGAAGCGGGACCAATGAGCACATTGAACAGCTTATACAACATGTCTATTGGTTCGCGAGGAGGAAAACCAATGGTCACCAAGATACCCAACAACGAAATGCTACTTGCTCGTGATCGTAAGCAGAGACGGGAAAAGGATTAATGCAGTGGCAGTAATGGCTCATCTGTTATTATTCTTCAAGACGTCAGTATTTTCTTGGGCTTAGATGGGACTCCAACACGAAAAGTGGGGATCGAATGGTCAGGGACACCCGAGCAAATGGGTAAGTTTAAAGTGCAGAGCAAAATTATGAAAATCATTGTATGCTTGCCCTCTCACAAAAATGACCAAGGTTACTCGTACCCTTATGTTATTGCTATACTACCCAAGCACGTGGAAGTTCGCAACATCCAAAGCCTTGCTCTAGTTCAGCAGATCGACCTACCTAGTGCACGTTTTTTGAACCAAGGAAAATTGGTCTACGTCGCAAGCACATCTCAAATATGGCGTTTGACTCCCTATAGCTTCACTACACAGGTATATAAAATCAAAAGTGGGAATAGTGGTCAGAGCTCTAAGTTTCCTTGTAGATCGACCAACTAGTAGAGAAGCAGGAATACCGAGAAGCGATAAGCTTACTAGAACAGATCGATGCAGTATTGGTTGACAACAAAGAGGAAAAACTCAAATGTATTCGGACTCTGTACGCACACGATTTGTTTCGACGTGGTCAATATGACACGGCTCTTGCCACATTCCAGGAGCTAGATACTGATCCAGCTGATGTCATAAGCCTGTATCCGGAAATGATATCTGGTAGCCTTGCTCGCACCAGTAATCAAGAACAGGATGATGAAGAGGCGTTATCGAATTCAGTACGAACGAAGAAGGCTGAAGATCTTACTGAAGAACAACAATCGACTAGACCAGCAAGTATTATGTCTGCTCGTAGTAAAACCTCGAATACCACCAAACTTAATGAGGTTGTCTCTCTCACGGGATTGAACTTGCACGATGCAGTATCATATTTGATTCGATTTTTAACCGAGAAGCGAACAAGACTTTCAAAGAAATTGGCTACCAGTTCGCCGCGCTCTTCATCATACAATGCATCAGGACACTTCCAGTCGGATGAAGAAGAAGCTAAACTGCTGCGTCAGGCAACATTGGTTGATACCGCCTTGCTCAAGTCCTATATGATGACGAATGACGCTTTAGTTGGGCCACTTCTTCGTGTGCAGAATCATTGCGACGTACAAGAATGTGAAACAATTTTATCTGACAAGAAAAAATACAAGGAGTTGGTGGATTTGTATAACTGCAAAGGTTTGCATTCTCACGCTTTGGATCTACTCGAAAGGTAGGATGTTTGTTCTATTGAATTATGCCTTGCTGTGAATCTTTTTAATCACATTTGTATAGATTAGGACGGCAATCCGAAGGACCACTGCGCGGTGTGCTACCAACAATCCGCTATCTCCAGCGCCTAGGACTTGAACAGTTTGACTTGGTACTCAAATACTCTAAATGGGTACTAGAAAAAGACGCCGCACATGGCATGGACGTAAGCCTTTATCTACTGCTTTTCGTACCAAAATTATTGAAATTGGTTGCTTAGATTTTTATTGATGACCTTGCTGAAGTCGAAACCTTCCCTCGAGACAAGGTCTTGCACCATCTTGAAACGATATCGGATGATTTGGCTATCCAGTACCTTGAATATGTTATCCACGAACTGCGTGACACGCTTCCTGATTTCCATAACAAGCTGGCTATTGCATATTTGAATAAGATAATGGATGAGCAACTCCAAGGTAAAGCAACGAGCTTATTCTACATTTCTATGTGTCATTAATCATGTACAAATGCAGATGATACCAAGAGATCCCAACTACGAAATAGGATGCTTGCATTCCTGATGGAGTCAACACATTATCGTGCCGAAAAAATTCTACCGCGTTTGCCATTGGAAGGTAAAGGTTTGCTTAGGAATAAGTCATTAGATGCTAATACTTGTCCAGAGTTATATGAAGAGCGGGCTATCCTACTTAGTCGTATTGGACAACACGACCAAGCGCTTGATATTTATGTTTACAAGTTGAAGAACTATAGCATGGCAGAAGAGTGAGTCACTCTAAGCCAACAAACATATTCGAGCTCAATTAACGCATTGCTTTTGGATAGGTATTGCACTAAAGTTTACCGCGAGGATCCTGCCAAGGGTGAAAGAATGTACCTGACCTTACTACGAGTGTACTTACAACCGAAGCATCATGAACAACCTTTATTGCAGCCTGCGCTGGATTTATTGGCACACCATGGTTCGCATATTAATGCATCCGAGGTATTGACCATTTTGCCTCTATCGACCGGTCTACATGGTCTTTTCCCGTTTTTTGAGAAATACATTCGCGAGACAAACAAGAAGAGAAATATGGACATGATAGTTAGGAACTTGCTTAAAGCTGAGCAGATACAGGTATGAATACAAAAATAGAAGCTATGATGCAACTAACACATGACGAATCCCCATGTACAGGTCGAAGAGCAACTCACATATTTTCAATCGCGTGCTGTCAAGATTACTGAAGATCGCATGTGTCCTCAGTGCAATAAGCGTATTGGAAACAGGTATGATTGGTGATGTAGTGAGTGTTATGGTGTATCTCTAATGAACATTTTTCAGCGTATTTGCCGTCTTCCCAAATGGGATAGTTGTCCACTATTCGTGCAAAGAAAAGATTGAACAGACTCAATGGAAGCTATTGTAGAGGGAAACTAAGAGTAATACTCATTTATCATTCATCATTAAATACAATTTATTGGAACCAATCAGTTATCAACAATGCTTTCGAGAATATTATTGAACGCCTTGGGTGTTTCGACATGCCAGACAGCAAGGGTCCGCTTTTCAGGTGGGCCAATGCTAATGGTGAAAAGCAGTTGGTTGATGCCTCCAATCTTCATTTTTGCAAGAACCCGGAACATGTCCTCGTCAGTTTTATCGTCTCCTGCGCAAAGGACGAACATTGCATCCGGATGCTGAGCTAAAGTACGTTTAATAACTTCGCCCTTGTTTATGGTTGTTGGCCTGACTTCTAGAGTCTTTTTGCCAACCAATATCTCGGCTGGGACCTTGTTAATAACTGATTGCTCCAAATGATTCTGACATTCTTTTGCCTGAAAAGCACTATTTTGCAAATTAGATCACATGGTTAAGTTTGGTATATACACAGCCTTACCCGAATTTTGGATCAGCTGTACGATAATGCCAAGTCAGTGAGCTGCGCTTAGTTTCAATGAAGCTTCCTGGAGTACGCTCTGTGTAGTACTTGAAGATTTCAAACACGTCGTCACGCCAGGTCATGTCGATTTGATCCATCATATTAACGGTTTTGGTTTTGCCAGAATCTCGGATAAAGCAACCATGTTCACCAGAGAGACCAATGTTTGGGATATGGCCTAGCCACTTTTCAAGTGTTCCCTGTTCGAGCATAAGCCTTTGTCAGATTAACTGAAATTGTGTTTTGGTAGTCTTTCTCTCAATACATGCCTGATCTCGTCCTGAGACGACCATCACCACATTGCGTGGGTCGTGACATAACTTCTCAAGAACTGTCAAGGTTTGTGCAGATGGGATAGCGTCTTCAGGTTTTTCACATATTGGTGTTAATGTACCCTATAACAAAAATTATCACTCTGACTACGTGATGGAGGTATCGTTACTTACATCATAGTCGAAGAATAGAATTCTTTTCCGAGACTCATGATATTCAATATGAAGACGCTCCACTTCGAGTTTAGGAGTCGGCCCCCAGTGAGTTTCCTTGCTAGCACTTGTGATGATATCCTTAACCAGAGAGTTGGCCCAGTATTCGGCTGTGTGTTCATTGACAAAGGCATCCAATTCCTAATACACGACATAAGTGTCCTCATTTCTTGTATCAGCCCTCAATGGCACCTACTGAAAACTTCTCTTCGCGCTCCTCATCGTTCATCGATAAGCTGTCGTTGATGGCAGCAGCTACTTCACCATAGTCAAACGGGTTGACAATAAATGCTGCGCTCAAACTACGAGCAGTGCCAGTGAATTCGGATAATATCAGTGGACTGTGTTTGCTACGCTCCTGCGCAACAATAAATTCAAGACTGGTGGTGTTCATGCCATCAGCAGTAGGCGTAATTAGCATCACATCACCTGCAGTAAGCAGAGCGTAAAACTCATCACGATCAATGTGTTGATGAAAATGCTGCACAGGCAGGAACTCAAGCGAGCCAAACTTGCTATTGATGCGATTGACGGCTTCGCTCATCTTGGTTTCTAAACGTCGTGAGTCTATGACTCCAGGCGAGGTCACTTGTATCAGAACAACTTTGTCGCGCCATTCTGGATAATTCTCAAGAAAGTATTCAAATGAATCCAACTTTTGGAGAACACCTTTAACGGGGTCGAGTTTGTCACGACCAACAATAATCTTCTTGTCCTTGAATTTGCTGAGTATTGCATTTAATTTGGGTTGCACACCGCTGTGGAGGCAATTGGCTCGTGTCCAGTTAACATCAATGCCGATAGGATGGATTCCGATGCCGACCATGCTTCCATTCGCATCGATACCTGTGGGAGTGTACTCGAAGCCTAGAACACGCGTACAATTGGATATGAAATGCCGGGCATAGTTATACGTCTATGTACTCGCTGTTGCTTAGCTTCTCAGACGTAAATGCTGGTTAAGGAGGCGGCTTCCTCACCTGAAATGCAACGAGATTTGCATCAAGCATGCCAGTTAGTATATCTTTTCGACCTATATAATCCATATTCAATATTAATTTTCGTGTATAACATGTAAGCTGTTATGACACACACGTGGCAGACACCGGAAAATCTCCGAGCTCACAAAGGGTGTGTGAACAAAAAGACCTATTTTGACCTGTGATACCAAGCCTCGCAGCATCTGGGGTACAAGTAAAAGATGATAGTCATGGATAACCACTAGAGTTATTTTAGTAAAGCATGAAGCAATAAAGATAATACATGATGAATCCCACAACAATCTTACCAATATCTCCGGTTTCGCAATGCTTGGCTACTTGTTCAGCAAAAATATGATTAACCGCCACATAAGCTTCCCAGTACTTTTTCTCGTCGATATTCTCGCCCCAAGTAAGGTAGTGCATTAACGGCCAAAGGACTGTGTAATTGATCAAAAAGTATGAGGATCCATGTACTTATCATTTTGATCTTTACCATTTGTTTACCTTGCTTGCAATAGCCCTCATAATGACCGTATGCCAGGTTTTCATCAATAAAGATCGGATCCATATGATGTTCAGAGTTCAAGAGTCTGCGTAAGCTGTCACGCTCTTCCTGCGTCACTTGCTCGTTTGGGACGTGTCCTCTACTGTGATCTGTTACAACGTTGCCGACTGAACCAATGTATAAGGTTTTGTAATGGTTGTCGAGGGACTTGATACCCGCATTCATGGCTGAGTATCCACGTCGTCGTTTAAGTTTCCACGCACCCGTTTCGCCAATGTTGGATGGACGCACAAGACAAGAGGAGCGACGACGAGCAAGTTGCGATATCGGTGCAGCATCTAGTGACAGACTTGACTGACGTTGACTGCGTCGAATAGCAGTGGACCCCAAATTTTCATTGTCATTCGAGATATCGGCCGTAGTTGTAAGAATGCATTCAAACGGTATATGGTGAACGACATTGATTACTTTGCCGCTAATATTGGCTGGTTGGTCACCATCTAGAAGCGCACGCAACTGTGTGGTGTCTATATGACTAGTATCCATGATGGCGAAGAAGAAAAGATAGATTTGAGAGATTAAAGTACCAGGGTTGTCCTCCCATGTTTGTTGTATTGTACCAACTCGGAAAAAGTTCCGAAATCAACTTGACTGACACCATGATGCAGTCATCCCCTGACAATTACCCGCCCCATGCGGTTGACTTTTTTGGCTGTTTATTTAATGCAAAAGAAAAAGCAATGTCATAAGTTACTGTTGGGAATGCAAAGTGTAGTCTACAATGTATGATTGTGTAATGAATTCATCCAGTCGTTGAAAGTGTCTTTCGGTATATGGAGCGAGGCCATCAATCAACTACGAGGGATATTGCCATTAGCTTCAAAAGGATGTCGTTAAGATTGCTCAAAAGTTACCTCTTTGGCTTTTGGGAGAGATACAATTTCTTCAGAAGCATGTGATGCAAGAATGGCATTGAGTACAGTTTGTGCAATATCAGCGTGCTTAGCATTTGTGTTCCAATCTCGAATGTAAGTTAGCAGCTTTTCCAAATTATCTGCGCCTAGCTCTGCCAAGACCTTATCCACGGCTGCCGATCCTGTAATGCTGTCGTCTTCCATATCCGAACGCATTTCCATTACATTTCGGAAGAGGGAGAGTAATCGGAAGGGCTGCTCCAATGACAGTGCCAACAAAATAGCATTTAGGTAATCCTTATTTCGCATAAAATTCTGCAACTCTTGCTCCCTGTTTTTCGAAAATTAGCCAAATATGTCTACTTTCCATGTCATACACACATACTTTATGATGTATTGTTCCTTTTCACGTAATTCCTCTTCTTGCTCTTCTCGTGTGATATCTTCCCAGAAATTGACCACCGAATCAGCACCACCAGAAGCAATATACTTTTGGTCCTTGCGTACTGCCAATGCCCACACCTTCTCTGTGTGATTATCGAGCGTCGTGTCACATTCGTTGGTTTTGATTGTCCATATCTTAAGTAGACCATCCGATCCACTTGACACCAACTGCATCCCGGATGTCAAAAAATCTACCCGAAGCACCGAATTGGTGTGTCCTTCAAATGTCTATTGCACAGTTACTATCCATCCACTTCGTGCTGTATAACATTCACATACCTTGATACAGGAAAAATCTCGTATGTTCCATAATTTCAGAGTCTTATCACCAGACGTGGTTGCAATCACTTGATCGACAGGCGAGAATTTCACACACCACACGCCTCGCTTATGACCTTTGCATGTACCAGCCAAATCTCCAGAATCAACATTCCAAATCTTAGCTGTCTTATCCTGTGAACCGGTTGCGAAAAACTTGTCATTAGGTGCGATGGCAATCGTATTGATATCTTTGTCGTGTGCTTGATGCGTGTACAGAGATCGTGGTTGATATGTATCATTCGGCTTATCCAAGTCCAAGTCACCCAAGTGCCAATACTTAATTGTACGATCTTGACTGCCACTGATTAAGAAATTTCTTGACTTGTGTGGCAATGCTACTGCACCAATTGCCTCCGTATGACCGACACACACAGCAGCACATTTGAAACGTTCTGCTGAATAAGCTGCTTGAAGATCAACTTTCCATAGCCGAATTGTACGATCCTTAGCACCCGTTGCCAGTAACATGCCATCCTTTGATCGATCAATACAGATAATCATGTCTTTATGCCCATATACAAGGTCACAGTCTTGTGTTTCTACGTTGTAGACACGAAGATGCTCGCTGTTGGTTACTGCAGCAAGATGTGTGTCCTCTGTACCAACATATGCAAGGTCCACAATTTGATCATTATAACCAACAATCTGCTTGATGCGTCTGAGTCCTTGAGCGATCGAATACATCAGGATATTCTCATCATTTGTCACTGCAGCAAGTACTTGCGACTTGCGAGCATAGCTATCAAACGTTGCAAAGTCAGTATAGAAGACCATATTTTGGTGATAAGAATCGCTTACATAATGTCTGTAATGGCATGCTTGCTATTCTCCTCACGTTCCTGAGCTTTTACCAGATTGCCGGTCTCCAAATCCCATATGCGTACAACACCTACATAGTTGTTAGATACGTATACACAAAGCACAGACCACAAACACACATACCATTGTCACCACCGGTATAGAAAAGTTCAGATTGGTGCCACTGTTCAGGGTATGATGATACATCGGCATCCTTGTTGATGAACCCGACAGTCTCCAAAGTTTCAAAAATGGGATAGGTCGCCTTGAGTGTTTTTCTCTGCCAATCCCACACGTTGACCACCTTATCACGAGATCCAGAGATCAATGTTTGTCCATCCGCTGAGAAATCAAGACCACGAATAACACTGACATGACTCTGAAGTGTAGCGATGCACCTGCAATCATAGCCCTTTAGTGAACTGCTGAGAAAATATGGTGATTCCTCTTCTCACCTCTTAGTCTGCAGGTCCCAGATACGGATTTCACAGTCGTCAGCGCCGGATGCGAGATACCATTGACCATTCATATGATGGAACTTGATAGCACTCACAACACCATTATGACCGGAAAGCACGTGCGTACAATATCCTTTATCGATGTCCCATACTTTGACAATGCCATCAGCACCACCAGTTGCAACTAGCGTTGATGTTGGATCGACATCCATAACAATGACAGGCGCCGTATGTGCTCGCACCGCTCGTACACAAATTCCTTGTTCCAAATCCCATACTCGCATCTGTAGACTGCGGCTTGCAGTAATAAGGTGCTTTCCATCGGGCTTGACTGCCATCGTTGTGACAAGCTCTGTATCCTAAAGATGTCTGAGAAACTTGCCAGGGATAACAACAATACCACCAAGCCCATTCATTTATACTTACTCCTTCGAGTTTGTGCACTTGTTTTCCGCTGCCTAGTTCGATAACCTCAACGTCTTCGTTCACCGTCGAGATCAATAGCGATTCGTCAGCTGTAATCAAGACTGTTCCACCGGTGTAGATCGACTCGATTGTTTTCACCGATTTGAAGCTTTTTCATAACGTTCTAGCTTGTCAGGTCCCCCAAAAAAATAAATAGTAAATCATACTAAATACCTCGTCTTAAGCATGAGCTTTGAGTTGACACCATGATCGTCTATAGCTGGAGTGGACATTGGGTAGCAAATAGAGCCGAGAATGTGATGGGAAGTTAATCCCACTGATTATGTTGGCCGAGGTAATAAGCCACCAGGGCGTCCGGTGGGTCGTTACTGCATGAATATGCTTTCGAGCACCGCTATGATCAAGTCACCAATCATTACAAAAGTGGGATTCCATTGATAGATTTTATCATCTGCCCTAAGTTGGCGATGCATGCATAGACAACATGCTCCTCAGACTTAGTATGCATCCCATCACTTTATCAGCTCATACATCAGTTTATCAATGCATCATCCCAACAGAGAGAAATACCCAGGCCCCACCATGCACACAATAAAAGGATGTTGTCGCCGCCCATCACACTCCCATACGTCTCTTTCCTCTGCCATACTTCTTTGATTGTTTACAAGGTCAAAAGTCCACGTTTCGGTGCCATGGTCTGCGCCGGGGGCTGAAGTTGACACGGTGCGTTTGACATGGTGCAAATAGCAAAAGTCCGCGATTTCCTTTTATTTGCCTTGGCTGGGGTAATGCAAATGTTATATGCTAACGTATGCCAAGTGCCAACAGAGAGGATATACAGGGCATCAGAGTCATTCATCCAGTGAGCTACAATAAGGAAGGAGAACCCAACTATTCATCGAATGAGAAAGCAAGTATTGTAACAAGGACCATTTTGGAGAACTGACACGTCAGCGATAAAAGTATTGTAACACGAAGATGCGTTCTCTATATGTACTCAAAGAGTCTGCAAGAGGGAAGTATCAGTCATTTTAATAACAGTGTAAGTAAACTAACTCATCCACTCACTAGATTTTGCAAGAGAACTCTCCCGACTTTCGTCACCATGTGCAGCATGGAAGTAGTTGAACGAATATCGGATACATGAGAAAATCCATGACAAAAGAAGCAGGGCACAAAAGGTCTGTTGCTAAAATTGACGACAATGCGCCTGCGTAATAGGTGTTTCGTTACAAATGTGTTTGTGTCGCCAAAGTGTAGCTCGTCTTAATCTCTTCTCGCAAGAGATTCCACTAGCAACGTTTGTGAGCGTAAAGTTGGCATACCATCTGCCTGACATATTGAGTGTGCTTGACTTTATACACCGCAAGTATTTATGTCACCTACAAAGGACCGAGATTTCCCAATGCCTTTTACCTAGTTATACCTACCATAAAGGATCCATCAAGGAGTACAGCCAAATATCATTATTAGGCAGCAATGAGCACTTCAAGTGGTAAAGCAATGAAGTGAGCTACATAGATGAATGCATAAGTACCCTCATTTTGAATCACATAAAGGCTACTATGTGACTTACCAAAGACAATTGATGATGATATGCATACAAATAGAAAGAAAGGGCGTATAATAGTGCTGGTGACAGCAGCCTTGTTTATATGTGAGTCGGGGGCGTGAGTATTGTTGTCATGGTTGTTCGAACTGATAAAGTGGTCCCCTTGATGTAATTACTGGACATGCTGTAAACAATGGAGCCCAATACACTTATTTGAATAGCTCGTTGGCGTTAGACATGCGCTAGAACCTTAGATATTATTGCGTTTGAAGAGCCACCGATGATCAGTGGATGATCATCATTGCATGTCTTTGCATATGGATGAGAGCAGATGACCCAATGACACATTTCGCAAATGGTAGCATCTTAAGAAAATGTAGCTTTTATTCTTCCGTCATCTAGTAGTTCGTTTAGGATATACGTTGTCATGCAGTGTAAGAGGAGTCGGACTGACGGAGAAGATGAGTAGGTTACACATGTTGTTGACAGGTTGCACAAACGGATGGTGATGATAATCTTGGGCAACGTTGGTTCTTCAAACACAAACATCGATTGATGAAAGCTATCCATGATGGCAGAGACAATTGCTTTATACATGCACACAATATTTGAGTATTTACACATCCCTATTTGATGCAGTATTACACATTGGATGTTCCAAGTTCAGGAGTTTGGCTGCATAGTCAAGGCTTGTGTCACTTTTGCCATAGAGATACATAATGAGGGACTAGTAGTTGATCCATACTGATCGAGGTATACAGGTGTGCATATTCACAAGAGGAACTGTGGGAAGCGAGATGGCTGTATCAAGGACGACGAGAGGAACCAAAAAGAGTCCACCCCACCTTTCTCCACTCCCATTTCACAAAAGCAAGGTGAGACACTCTCCATTAACGAACTACAGCGCATTAACCCCTGACATGCTCTTTAATGCAAGACGTAGATGGGTGAACCGGTGGCCAATGGTGACTCTTTCAGCTACAACAAGCACGCGCGCAATCTACCCATGTTTCAAGGTTCCATTCCCATACAACAGGTACGGTCAATCGCTGGAGCGCTTTTACTATTCAAGTTTGACATTGTGGTACTGAAGCTCGTGTGTAGATTGCTGTTCTCTCGTTTACAAGATCTAATGGAGGCGTCGCGTGTATTCATTCCCAAGTTGTCCACAACAACACTTCTTTACGCTGCCTCTTTTGGGTATGTTGGCAAGAAAGCGCGTTTAGATTGGTTTTCATTGGTATCTCACATTGTGTTCATGGTAGATCGACTTGTTGGATGATGGTACCTGTTGGCAGTAGCAAGATATTGATCTTAAAGCAAGGACGCTGTACGTTGGTTCAATGGTATGTATGGTGTTGGATCTACAATGCAGGACCACTTAATTAACGAGCCTTACAATGAAGCAGCAGCAGCACATACTGGATCGGATGGATACAAGGTTATTTGCAAGCGACGATGGAATGGTATTGGGAACACCTCAAGGTAAAGTGATCATTTTAGGATTTGTCACCTTCAAGTGCACTGATGAAAGAAATAGGCTCTCGTTCGGCGATTACTATTATCACGGCTGCACGTCAAGGGATGGAGTGTACTGTCTTAAGGGGGAAGGCCATGTTGTGGTACGCGGATATTACGTTGGGCTCACGGTGCGACTTCGGTTTAAAAATGCACCCTCTGACCTTTCGTGGAGAACAAAGTATATGCTTCCCATCATTGCACTGCTATACTTTACTCGACTTGGAAGACGATGGGTGTCTTTCTTGGCAACATGGCTGGACCCACGGCTAGTGGTGTTAAAGTCGGCTGGGGAGGGGCTTCGTGTCACCGTTAAAACCGGTGTTTTGACGCCACGTTCCTACGGGAGGCTAGAAGGCAGTACGGATACTACATTCCTTGGCAGTGCGCTTTTATTATTGCTATTATTGCCGGCGGCAAGATTCATTGCTATGTATAGAATTGGATTTACAATACAAGTGCTATCAATATACAATGGAACAGCAGCAGCACAATGTGGATGGCATGGAGATACGGAATTTGTTTGAGGAGGCAAGGATACTATTGAAGTATCGCAAGGTAAGAGTATTCATTATGGGATGTGCACTTACGAAGGAAATGTGCAACGACAGGATCAAGAAGGCTTTTCCTTGGCTATATCACTTGGCACGTCAAGGATGTTATTGTACTGTGTGCTGTCTTGGGGAGACCATGTTGCCCTTACCACCTCGTGTGGAAACATGTGCTCACGGTGCTATGGCAAGACCAATTTAAATACGCATCCTCTGTTCGCAGTTGCAGCATGCGGATCCACGGCTCAGGTGGTGTCAAAGTCGGCTGGTGAGGGGCTCAGGTCACCGTTAAATCCGGTGTTTTGGCGCCATGCTTCCTTCGGGAAGGGGCTAGTAGACAGTACAGGTACCTTGGCATTCTTTGGCATTGTGGCTTTCTTATTACTATGATTTCTGGATGCACCCTGTTTGAGAGATTCAAGTACGTATCATTCCAATGTCTTTGAGATGGAAGTATTCTTGCCGACAATGCGCCTTTCTAGATGGATCATCTTGCATTGAAGTCCCCAGGATTGCAGCTATCATTGCTAAGTATTGTTTATATGTTTGGGGGAGTGTTTACGGTGCATCTATTATAGGTGAACTATGTTAGGATCAAGCAGCATCGTCTTTGGGATCAAGCAGCATCGTCTTTGGCATCTTTGGTATCAGCAGGTCTTATTACATCGTTCGATAGTCCTCGTTACCAAGTATTAAAAATTCCTTTTGTGAATCTGCAACAACTTCTATTGTCTTATGGCTCTGGTTGTCAAGTACTACTTCAGTGCTCTGGAAAATCAGCTATCTGCAAGTCGTCTCTTTATGGATGGATCTTTGAGCAATGTTTGTTCTCGGTGCCATGGCGGATATCATTCCTCAAGTACCTGTACGGATAACTTTGGGCATATCATCGTGTGTGCTATTTCATCAAGACCGGATTTATTTGTTGCAGTGCATGATGTGTCTCTCATGACGCCTACCCAAGAAGGTCGCTTGATGGCAGCTACTACTGATATGGCGGATGTTTATTTGCTATGGGTAGAACGGGATGGTGCTTTGCTCTTATGGGTCGGCCTCTGTGGGCGTGGGATGGCTATTTTGTCCTTTTATCAGACCGAACATGCTGGCTCGAGCAGCACCTATAAATAGAAGATGTCATAGAAGACGCAATGGCATCCCCCATTATCCGGCTTGGTGCACCGTAGGGGTGAGGATGACGGCAAAGCCTTCGCGTGGCCATCCTTGTCAGTACATGGGTTTCCATGGAAGCTAATTTGTCACCTTATTATGGATTCATTACGAGACATCATCACTAACAGCATTCTAATAGCTATCTTTTGAAGTGACAAACCTAATAGCCTATATCATGGTGCAGAAACTTAGATTACATGCGAAGTAATATCGTTGAATAAAGACTTCCTTTCAATCAATAAATGTTTAAGGTTACTCTTGAAAGTGACGATATGAATGGATACCCTCATTCCTCGACACCGTTGCGTGAGTGATCAACATACACCAAGATTGCGGAGGAGTTGTTCATTGTTCACATGCCGTTTAAATGGTTCATGCAGGCAAGAACAATCAAATCATGTGGACCGCAAGCAAGTTATAAAAAGCCTCTTTTCAACATTGGTGTTTGCTACACACAACAGCATGATCGATCTCCATGTCAACGAACAACCAGTATCGTTCGACAAATTATCATTGCAAATACAACAACAATGTTGCTTCATAATGCAAAATCACCATTCATTGCTCAAATTGGACCTATTCGCCATTCGCAATGTATCACATTGTAGCCAGCAATCAATGCGTTCTTTTGCTGTATACCATGCACGAAGATATGGTAGAAGCAAGGAATAGCGTTACTTTTCGTTGTAAAATCATCATACTTCGATCAAATTGGATCCATTCACCATTTGCAATGCACCACGTTGTAGCCAGCAATCAACGCAGTCTTTTGCTGTATAACAAGGCCACCATGGTATGGTAGAAGCAGGCACCAATGTTGCTTTACAGCGTTAAATCATCATACCTCGCTCAAATTGGATCTATTCGCCATTGGCAATGCGCCACGTTGTAGGCCGAAATCAACGCAGTCTTTTTGCTGTATACCAATGCCACGATGATATGGCAGTAGCCGGCACGAATGTCGCTTTACAATGAAAAATCATCATACCTCGCTCAAATCGGATCTATTCGCCATTCGCAATGCACCACGTTGTAGCCCCAATCAACGCAGCTTTCTGCTATATATACTAAGATCACGTTGATAGGGCAGTAGCAGGCAACCATGTTACTTTTCATTGTAAAATCATCTTACTTCGCTCAAATCAGATCTATTCACCATTCGCAATGTACACATTGTAGCCCCGAATCAACGCAGTCTTTTGGGGTATAACGCGATCACGTAGATATTGCTGTAGCAGACAATAACGTCATTTTTCATTTTAAAATCATCATACTTCGCTGAAATCGGATCCATTCGCCATTCGCAATGAACCACGTAGTAGCCAGCCATTCAAGCAGTCTTTTGCTATATAACAAGATCATGTTCATATGGCAGTAGTGGGCAATAATGCTACTTTACAATATAAAATCATCATACTTCGCTGAAATCGGATCCATTCGCCATTCGCAATGACCCATGTTGTAGCCCGCAATTCAAGCAGTCTTTTGCTGTATAACAAGGTCACGTTCATATGGCTACAGCAGGTAAGTATGTTATTTTTCATTGTAAAATCATCATACGTCGATCAAATCGGCTCCATTCACCATTTGCAATGCACCACGTTGTAGTCCCCCGCTTCAAGCAGTCTTTTGGCTATATAACAAGGCCACGATGATTGGCAACAGCAGGCACCAATGTTGCTTGTCAATGCAAAAACATCAAACCATACTCAAATCAGATGTATTCGCCATTCGCAATGCACCATCATCGTAGCCAGCAATGAACGCAGTCTTTTGCTGTATATCAATGCGACGATGATATGGTAGAAGCAGGCAATAATGTTGCTTTGCAATGCAAAATCATCATATTTCGCTCAAATTGGATCTATTCGCCATTCGCAATGCATCACATTGTAGCCCGCAATCAACGCAACCTTTTGTTGTATACCAAGGTCTCGATAATATGCCCTATGGCAGTAGCAGCCAACAACGTTGCTTTTCAGTGAAAAATCATCATACCTCGCTCAAATCAGATTTATTTGCCATTCGCAATGCGTCACATTGTAGCTCGCAATTCAAGCACTCGTTTGACGTATAACAGGGTCACGTTAATATGGCAGTAGGAGGCAGAAATGTTCCTTTTCGTTGCCAAATCATCCTACTTCGCTCAAATCGGATGTATTCGACATTCCCGTAATGCACCACATTGTAGCCCCTAATCAACGCAGCTTTATGCTGTATAACAAGATCACGTTCATATGCCAGTAGCAGGCAATAGCGTTACTGTTCGTTGTAAAATCATCATACTTCAATCAAATTGGATCCATTCACCATTTGCAATGCATCACAATGTAGCCACCGATTCAAGCAGTCTTTTGCTCTATACTAATGCCACGATGATATGGCAGTAGAGGCACTAATGTTACTCTTCAATGCAAAATCATCATACCTCGCTCAAATCAGATCTATTCGCCATTCGCAATGCACCACGTTGTAGCCCCCAATCAATGCAGCTTTCTGCTATATATACCAAGATCACGTTGATATGGCAGTAGATGGCACCAATGTTACTCTCCATTATAAAATTATCATACCTCGATCAAGTCGGATCTATTCGCGATTCGCGATGCGCCACGTTGCAGCCAGCAATTCAAGCAGTCTTTTGCTGTATACCAATGCCACGATGATATGGCAGTAGCGGACACCAATGTTACTTTACAACGCAAAATCATCATACCTCGCTCAAATTGGATCTATTCGCCATTGGCAATGCATCACAATGTAGCTCGCAATCATCGCGGTAATTTTGCTGTATAACAAGGTCTGGATGATATGGTAGAAGCAGGCACCAATGTTGCTTTACAATGTAAAATCATCATACCTCGCTCAAATTGGATCTATTCGCCATTCGCAATGTATCGCATTGTAGCCAGCAATCAAGGCAGTCTTTTGGCATATACCAATGTCTCGATGACATGGCAGTAGCGGGCACCAATGTTGCTTTACAATGCAAAATCATCATACCTTGCGCAAATTGGATCTAGTCGTCGTTCGCAATGCACCATCATCGTAGTCAGCAATCAATGCGGTTTTTTGCCGTATAACAAGGTCACATTTATATGGCAGTAGGAGGCAATAACGTTACTTTTCAATGAAAAAACATCATACGTCGCTCAAATTGGATCCATTCGCCATTCGCAATGCATCACATTGTAGCCCGCAATTCAAGCAGTCTTTCTCATCAGCGCTGCGTGGGTGATCAACATGCACCAAGGTTGTGGATGAGCTGTTTATTGTTCATGCCGTTTACATGCTTCATGCAGGCAAGAACAATTAAATCATGTGGACCACAAGCAAGTTATAAAAAGCCTCTTTTCAACATTGGTGTTTGCTACACACAACTGCATGATCGATCTCCATGTCAACCAACAACCAGTATCATTCAACAATTTAGCATTACAAATACAAGCTATGTATCCGTCATTGCTAATGTCAAAAAGATACGGGGCAGGAGAGCGTGTGTACTACTATAAGCAGCATACTAAAGAATGGCATCAATGGATATAGTTTATAGCAGCATCATTCCAAGGTGTAAGTGCACTCCACAACAATGCATTCTATACGACATTCGAGCTCCACCAAGGCATGAACAACAACAAGACGTCAGTGTTAAGGGTGGCAGCCATGATGGATATTCGTCATAAGTCTGGACATCAAAATCATCGCAACGTCGCATCACAAACTATCAGCACATCCTTGAGCCATGTATACGTATCCATTTTGGACCTCTGCCATAATTCTATGATGGAAAGAACAAAGGGCTAGATGTAAATGAAACCGGATGCTGGTAACTCTCTTTCAAAAGGATACTTTTGGGGATATTTCCAACAGCGTTACGCATAATAAAATTGCAACAGCGTCGTATTGGCGATTAGCCATCTACGTTTTCATCAACCAATTTCAAAGGGCAACGATGGATGGCCTATCATCGGCGAGCATAATCAAACTTCATATGTGCATGGAAAACAACCGGCACCAGGTACATCGGGAATACACTTCTTTTTCTGCACCCGCTATTGTCGATAAGGATAGCTTGGCGCAGCAAAACAGCCCACAGTCGACTTTCTACGGGCAATTCATTCTATATACACTCACTACAACGAACTCTAGCAAGGTAAGAGCAAATATTATGCATAGATTACAATAATGGTGTTAATTAGTACATTGAAAGACATCCCAGTAGCCGGCGATATCACTATGAGTGTGTCAAGGATCAATTATACCGATCTTCAAACCGACTGGATATGTATAGTGTACTTGAAGAAGTAAAGGCATACCATGTAAGTCAATGTATATGATGTCGATTTAAAAAAGTGTTCTTATCTGGTTCAAAATGCAGTATGTTACTGGATTCCTTGCAATGTATGCGTGCTCTGGCTTGCTACAACAACAGAAGCTGCAGAATGAGATGGATGGAAAGCTCGAAAATGCAGTGTGGCGATGCATACACCACCAACACTCATTGTATTCAATCAACCACTATACAGCATGCAAGCAAGTTTGGAGACACTTTGATGGAGAGAAGCAACAGCTTCACGAACCATGGTGAGTATCGACAACATGCTGTGGATGAGAACATTGTATTGATCATATCTTTGTTGATGGAATGCACAAGGGGCCCACAATACGCGGGTGTGCACAATGCTCTGGTATCATTTGCTTCGATTAATGGTGATTACGATATATGGAAGGACAAAGGTAAAATTTGGAGGTCGATGGAGGTCTTCAA